GTTCTGAATCACCACCAGACTTGTGCTCACAGGCAGAACTCAGCGCTGGGCTTGGGCTTGAAATGTTCCAAAAAATTAATATCCATGAGTAGTTTTGCATAAAGGAGTTGTGCCATTCGGTTCACCAGGGGAGGCCTTTCTTCCCTAGGCAAGGCCAGAGAGTGTTTTAAAATAAATACATCCACCAGTTACCAGAAAACTGCTGTAAACACACGACTGTTTCTAAGACATTGCTGCCAATTACTGCATTTGTCCCCAGGATAAACCAGGCTGGATTTCTTTAATTCTGAACACTACTTGGCTTTCACTTGGAAGCAAACACGCAGGAACTCGGCATGGCCACAGCCTGTAATCCTCAGGCTTCACCTTTCTGCTGGCCAGGGGCTAAGAGAACCTCTTAAGTTTAGGAATCTTCCACAGCATGGCTGCCTTAAGGAGTCTGATTTAGAGGTTTAATCTCCAGAGGTTTAATGATTCATCACATTTGATAGACAGGAGAAATATGAAATATGGCCCATGTGCACTGCTGTAACTGGACTGACATCAGCCATCTATCATCACCTACCGTCTGTATTCTAAAGTATTTATATCCCATTATTGAATTCCTCACAATCTTTAAATATATTTCTCTCCTCAGCATCTTTATGAGATCAGGAAGAACTGTCACAGTTAAGAAAGGGAACAAAGAGGATGTTCTGCTCTGGCCTTGCAGGAAGAGTGAGAGAGACAAACTGAGCACATCTCTTGTCAAGGCCCCGCCACTGCATCACCGTCTTTCCATCTGCACCCTGTTTGTTTGCTAATAAAAATGAATACCAAATATTCCCCTTTGAAGACACCTCTGCTGTCCAAACACAGTGTTCAATGAGCTGCTCTTTCAAGTCATTTTACAGACAAGCAGGTGGGCCTTGAGCACTTTCAAAGCTGAAGTCTCTATTTTACAGAGTTCCTAAAGATGAGCTGTCACAACGTGCTGGTCCTGGAGGTTGGGGGTGAATGAGTTTGGGATCTTTATATTTTCTTATAAAAAGCTGTGCTGCTCTTATTATCTGCACCACAACCTCCAACAACTGCTTTATGAATTCATCTGCAGTAGAGTTTATCCTTCAGAGCATCACACTTTATCCAGGGTCTTCATTTGTATTCATCAGTGAGGATGGAAATAAAATTTAGCCTTAATTCAAAGACTAATTTAGATTTCGGTGTGTGATTAACATTCCACATACAATTACTACCATCAAAGTCAAGCATATGCATAAATCCTTGCAGGACTGGGGCCAAAAACATTTTTAAGTATCCACTTATTCAATACATTTTGTATAAAGAATTATTCTTATCTATTATTTATGCAAGGGTCTTAACTAGGTAAATCTTGACACAGCTAAGCCTCTCTCTATATATAATTACTCATTTTCTTACTTTTCATCTGGCTTCTCCTCCATACATTGTTATCTAATTCCACCAGCCCTTGGGTACGAGCACAGTTCACTAGCTGTAAATACAATTTACTCTTAGGAGCAACAGAAATATTCAGCAATCTCAAAAACTAAGTTTTCAGGAAAATGTGCAACAACTTCCAACAGGTAACAGCACTGACTGTATAATCTGCTGACAAGGACCATCAAAAAACAATCAATTATAAAGAATAAAAATCTATACTAAATGATAAATTATTGCAATACATCCAGGAAAAATACTGATTTTTCCATTAAATACCATCCCTCAACTAGTCCACTCAGAGTGGAATCACCAAAACTTTAATACTATGTTTTTGGCGTGCAGCACAGACACAATCAAACAGTTCACAAACATGTACAAGTGCAATATGCAGAGTGCAAAGGCAGCCTTGCTGTGGATTGTGTCCACCAGGATGTTCACAGCACCAGTCATGACGTTTGCCAGCAAGAAAAACAGCAGCTGGTTTTTGTTAATAGCACTAATCAGGCAAAGGTGTGGAAGCTCCTCTTCCCTCCCCACCGGCGCGGCCTCCGTTCCCAGCTTTTTGTTGGAATTAGGGGGCCTCGCAACGCTCCAGCTGCAGGGCACGCTGGAGCCCTTCACCAGCAGCTTTGCGAACACCAGGGTGAGATCGGTGGCCACAAAGAAGATAAATAACATCAGGCAGTGGGCAATGACCCAGAGGCAGTAGGAGAGGTTGGCCATCCGGCGGGACACGGGGTCCGTGTGCGCCTGGGACACGTGCAGGGACACGAACAGCACCACAACCGCCAGGGCCAGAACCCGCAGGGCCCCAAGCCAGCCCCTCACTGAGCCCCTGCACTTCAGCAGCCACAGCCCCACCTGCACACTCGCCAGGTAAATGGCCAGATACCCGACGAGGGAGAGCAGCCCTTCCCTGTTGGCATCCAGAAACCCAACCCTGCTGTCCCCGCCGCTGCTCCCACGCAGGAGAAACGTCTTGAGAGAGGTAGTGTTGAGAACGAGCTGATAAAGTGCAGCCAGAGTTAGAGCCACGACCCAAGACTTATTTTTAGGAAACAGGGCTAAAAGCAGAGATGCTGCGAGTCTCACGAACGCCAAGGTAAAGAAGAAATTCCAGTGCACTCCGTACTCCGACGTGTGCTCGTGGTACTCTATGGATTTAACGCTCAGCAGCCGCCCAACGCCCAGGGAAACCAAGGGCCAAACGGAAAAGAACTGCCTGGCCAGGTTGGAAAACTTGGGCTGTGTCTCAAGGGACTTCTGTCGAACCTCGGGACAAACGAGAGCGTTGCCGAAGATGAAAGCTCCCACCCCCAGATCCATAACTCCCGTGCCGTAGGTCTCGGCTTTGGCGTATCGCCTGGGGTACTGCGGGAAATCCACGGCTAAAATGCTGATGGACGTCAGCACATTGACATAGACACGGAACACGGTTATTGCTGGGATGTACTCGGGGTCCAAGCGTGTCTGCTGGAACTCCTTTACAACCTGCCCAAAGGGCACCCTGGTCTCCCGTTTTCTTTGGCTGCATATTTTGGAAAATATTCCGGCGCAGAAGGCGGCGAGGATAACTGGCATGAGGAAGAGGACTGGAGACAAGACGGTGCAGGAGAACAGCAGAGGGGATACCAGCACCAGGAAGTCCAGCAGCAGGCTGGATTTCCTCGAACTTATAGGTTTTCCACAGTGCAGGTGGTACAGGATCAGGAGGAGCCCTCTGCAGAGCAGGCACAGCGGAGCCAGGGACAAGCCCATGGAAATTTCCAGCAAACTGGTCCCGTTCAGGTTGCTGATAAAGGCTTCTTTCAGCTGTTTTTGGGACATCCTTCTTTCTTCCTCTGAAAACACAAACGGGAACTTGCGTTAGTTTTGTAGAACAGGGGGGTCAGAACTCCTTAAAAAGGAATCTTATGTACCGGTTCATTAAAGCACCATTGATTTCAGAGGTTATTGAGTTAGTTTTCAATTTAAAGAACACAGAGCAGCAGCCCCGGAGCTGGAAACACCAGCACTGGCCTGGGAAGCTGAGCAGAGGCACAGGAAACATGGAAGACTTGGGCAAGCTCCAGCATTATCCACCCTGCTGTGCTCCAGCAAGATTCTTTGTACATTTGTGCTTAAGATCTCTAAATACCAAATACTCCACCGACTATTCCCATTGTGAATAATCTTACTGCATGTCCCGCCCTGCAGAACACACTTTGCCATATTCTCTATAGCGTAAATGAAGCAGTTACCTAAAAAAGGACCCTTAAGGGACTCGGTGCTGCCAGGTCAGCAGCAAACCCGGCGGCTGAGATCCCCCACGGGCACCTCTTCGAGGCGGCCCCAGCCCAGCCCAGCCCGGCTCCTCCGGGAGAACACCCGTGGAACGTTCACAGCGCTAATTACCAGCTCAGAGCCAGCGGGTTTTGTTTCCCCCCCCCGCGGGAGGAGCGGGATCTTACCGGGAGCGGGGGCAGCCCGGGGTGGGGGCCGGGCCGGGCCGGGCCGTGCGTGTGTCCCGCATCGCAGGGACACCCATCCCGCAGGTAAAACCCGGCCCCGCTCGCCGCCCGCACTTTCGCCAGCGGAGCCGCTTCCGCAGCCGCCGAGACCCCGCCCGGGGCCCGCCCGAGCCTCCGCCCCCTCCGCTCCGGCCCCGCCGCTGCCCCGCTCCGGCCCCGCCGCCCGCGGTAAGTCCCGCACCGGCCCGGTCCGCCCCAGCGCTCCCGTTCTGTCCCATCCCATCCCATCCCATCCCATCCCTGCCATCCCATCCCATCCCATCCCATCCCGCGCCTCCCGCCGCCCCGGGATCGCTGCTCTGCCCGCGGCCCGCCCGCTCCCAGCCCGGCTCCGCTCCTGCCCGGGGGCACCGCGGGCCCGGCGGCAGCGCCCCTGGGGCTCCCTCACCCGCAGGGATCCCCCGGCATCCCGCAGGGATCCCCCCCCCCCCGCCCCCGGCATCCCGCACCGCCACAAAGGCCGCCGCGGCCCGCGGGAAACCGGGATGCACCGGCGGGGTTGGGGAATGGGGATCCCGAGCGGCTGCTCGGGGATCGAACCTGGCGCTAAGGAGCGTTTTCATGCCAGGTGAGAACGGAATAGGGAATGGAATAGGAATAGGGAATAGAATAGAATAGCATAGAATATGATAGAATAGAATATGATAGAATAGATAAATATAATTAGAACAGAATATTATATATTAGAATAGAATTAAAATAGAATATGTAGTAGAATTGGAATATAATATAATTAAAGTAGACTATAATAGAATTGGAAGAGAATTAAAATTAGAATTAGAATTAGAAATGGAGTGGAAGTAATGGCAGTTTCGGCTGCTGGAAGGACAGAATTCTTCCTGGCTCTGTGACTGGAATCTCTGTGTTTACCACAGAAATCCGAAGGGCTTGACTCACCTTGGGCTGGCTCCACAGTTTTCCAGAGGAAGCAGGAAGGGGACAGCAGCCTATCTGGTTTCTGCTGCAGTACAAACTTCTCTGAGTCACAGCCTTCCCAAAAGCACTGGCTGCTCCGATGCCGTCAGACCACAGATCTTTCCTATTTGTCCAAACTGGAAGAATTCAAGAAAAAGTTGCAATTTCTCTCCCAGAATTAGTAATTCAAGAGAAACAAAGCATTTTATTCCTGGTGTCAGGAAAGATTCATTATTCTCTCCAAATCAGCTTTATTTGCAGGGGCAGCAGAACATGTGACCGTCGCTGATAGTCTGGGTAGGCTTCCAAATGTTGCTTGGTCCCACTGGGATCAGTAATTCTGTCTGAAGCCTTCGGGCTTTGCCCCTGGAGAACAACATGTCCAGAGTTATTTGGTTCTAAATGCCTTTTTATTTTATCTTACCTCAGCATCCTGCAGTGTGATTTGAATGAAGTACCCCAAAGTCAGGCTCCTCTCCAGCGTTCCCATCCACAGGCCTGGACAAGATGCCAAAGCAGGTAAAGAGAAAACCAGGAATTGTGTGTGCTAATTAAATTTTGCTGCCAGGAAAGAATTCTTGGCTTATTTCCATGCAGTCAGGATTAGGTAACTGCTAATAAATATTCACCCCTACTTCATGAACTGACTGGACTGTTTACTGTGGGTTTGAGCTGTGCTACCAACAGCAGGCAGGATCTTTGCTGTGCCCTTGGCTTTAGCAGGGCAGCTGCTAATGCAGGTACCAAGCACATCCTTAAGGGTATTTATTCCCTTCTTCATTTTCTTATCTAACCTCTCCTTTCCCTGGAAATGACAAACAGGACCTGGAATTTCTCTTTTAGTTTTCCATGATGTTTGTACAATAAATGTGTCCTTCCAGCCAATATTGTCAAGGGCATGGGAGCCCAGAGGCAAAGATTTGAACAGTGATTCAGAGGGGACAGGTCTTCAGCTTAAAGCAGGCCAGCTCTTCCAGCACCACCATTTCTGTCTCCTGGCTGTGGTGTGTGCACCCTGTGCTCTGAAAATGAAAGTTCCTGCTGGGAAAAGTGCGGTTGTGTTGGTCCACAGTCGGACGTGGGAGCAGTAGAAGAGCTGGAATAGTGGATGAGGTGAAAGTCCAGCTGGATTCAGCCTTTGACTGGTGCTGATCTGACACCCCCTCCAGGAAAATGGCCAAAAAGGAGATCCTCTCATCCAGAATGACCTCAGTGAATCATTTGAAGAAGAAGTGAGAGCCTTCCTCAGCGACGAAGAGAAACTGCACCTTTTTGATGACCTCACAAAAGTTAATCCAGTGACAACTGCGACAGGTAGGAGCAGCCAGGGGAGGATTTCCTGAGGAATCACTTTCCCTGGCTACTGATCTGGGGTAGTTCCTGCTCTCATTGCATCAATACTGCCATGAACACAGTAGTTAAAGATTCAAAGCCTCTTAAAGCCTGTTCTGGGCCTTGGAAAGTTACACTTAGCACGCTCTGCAGGCAGAGCTCACATGGGTGTCGTTGGTTCAGGCAGCAAGGTGTGAGTTGACACGACTGAAGGACTCCTGCAGGACCTTGGCATTGCAGTTTGGTGTTACCTGAACACATCAGAGAACGAGCTCTAACTTAGATTCCAAATATAGCCATGAAAGTGGTCCTAAAAAGTAAAGTCCTCCCTCAGCTTTTAAAGATGATGCTGTTAGAAGAAGCTGAGATGGGGAGTCCTTGCCTGTTTCTTCTGCAAGGGAACAGATTTGCCCTCTAGGACTGTGTGAAACCCCATAAAAGCAGAGGATTTATTGAAGGGAATAGCAGATCCCTTAAGATTTTTACAAATAAGGGCAACTCTTGAAGACATTGTTAAGTGCATTAGACCCATGTCTAAGTCTTGGTCACCTCATTCTCTGTTAAACCCAATAGGTAACATACCTGAAGGTGTTTGTTCCAGACAGGCTCAGGATGAATCAAATACACTTTGCAGAAGGTGCTAACAGAAGGTGTGTTTTCCAGTTCTGAAATGCCTTCAAGCAAGGTACAGAGTCAACTTGTTCTACACCAATGCTGGCTGCAGCCTCGTGGCTTTAAACCCCTTCCAGCCTTTCTCCTGCCTCTACTCCCCTGAGCTGATGAGAGAGTACCACGTTGCACTTCGTCCTCAGGTAATGCTTGTGTTTGAAATACCTGTCCCCCTGCAGAACCCAGATGGCAAGCTCCTCAAACTCTATATGAGCAAAACACTCCTGAAAGCTGAAACCCATTTCTAGTGAAATATTAGTTCTGTGAAAAGAGCAGTGCTGTTTGGAGGTAAATGGGAGATGACCTTTACTATCCATTGCTGTTGAACTGTGTAATTGCTGTTCTCTTAAATCTGAATATTCTCTTTCACTGCCAGGATTTAAAGCCTCACATCTTTGCAGTGGCTGAGCAAACCTACAGAAACGTCCAAAACCAGGTGGAGCCCGTGAACCAGTCCATCATTGTGAGTGGAGAAAGTGGTGCTGGCAAGGTAAGAAAATCTCTCTTTTTGTAGTGCAGAGTATTGCAGTGAAGGAGCAGAGATGAATTAAAACCCCCTCTGATGGAGCACGTAGCCAGTCTGCTCCAGTGTGACTCTCCTGAAATCTGTGTGAAGCATTAAGTGATTGCTGCAGTTAAACACACTCTGCTCAATATAGCTGCTCTTCAGGTGACATCTGTCATTTCTGGGAGGGCTGGGTTTGAATCATTCAACAGCAACTGCACCTGAGTTTGTCTGGGAGCTCGTGTGGGTCTCGGCAAACCCTGTGTAGAGACTTAGAGGGAGCAGAGAGTTCAGAGCCTGTCCTGGGCCCTCCTGTGATGGCCCTTCCCTGCTCAGGACAGCATTGTGAGGGTATTTTTAAGGCCTGAGAACAAAATGGTTTGCTGGGTGTTAATGACTCAAAATCCATTTATATTCCCTTCATCTTAAGACGCTGGCAATTCTAGCTGAGCTTCCAGATGGTGACATCTCAATGAAGCTGCCATTCAGCAAAGCACTCCCACTCCAGCAGCCTTGCGGTGTGTGCCTGTGGCACAGAGTTTGCACTGAGGCAGAGCTGCCAGCCTGACACAGTTACTCTCTTTAGCCTCCCCAGCAGCTGCACGCTGTGTTTCCAGCAGCCAGCACTGCTCACTCACTGACACAGCTGATAACGTGGCACAAACAGGGCCCTATTGTGCAGCCTCTCTCTTGCAGACCTGGACCTCTCGCTGCCTTATGAAGTTCTATGCCTCTGTTGCTGCTTCAGCTGTCTGCCTAAAAGGCAGTGAAACCGTGGAAAGGATAGAGAGGAGAGTGCTGGACTCCAACCCTGTCATGGAAGCATTTGGTAAATGAGGCTTTTTTTAAAGCAAAAAGCAGTAATGGCCACTGTGGGAATTTTCTTGGTTAGTACGCCAATCTAAGCTACGTCTCGGTCCTCTCCTTAAAAATAAACTCTCAAAATACAGGACCAAATCACCCTTAGTATGTGTATGTCCTACATGGGAGAGTGGAACCACTCTGATTCTGTGTGTCCCTGGCAATTCCCCAGGCAATGCCTGCACCCTGCGGAACAACAACAGCAGCCGCTTCGGGAAGTACATCCAGCTGCAGCTAGACAGGTAACAGCCACTCTGTGAACCCATTGTCTGCTTCCTTTAAACCTGGATGAAATAGGAAATTAGGCTTGCACAAAACTGAAGGTGAACTGCAAAGCATTCACAGTCAGTTGGTGTCACAAAACACGGCACCTGTTGGGATTCTGGAAGGGGTTTTGCTGAAATCTTTGCTCTTTCTCCCCCTCTAGATTCCACCATCTGAGCAGTGCTTCCATTCAGACCTTCCTTTTGGAGAAGACCAGAGTTGCCTATCAGGCCCCCAATGAAAGAAACTTTCATATTTTTTATCAGGTTTGCCTTCAGTTAATTTTGCTGCATATTTCTGACAAACAGGGGGATGAAATCACCAGATTTAGCACAGTTGCAACTTTTAATAATTAACAGTTTCCCCGTCTGCCAGGCTTCCAAATGAAACCACCCTCCCAGTATGTTACTCTTCCTTGTCCGTGAGCTGTAAATACCAAAGGCACAATTCAATCCTTACCTTGTTTTCTGCCTCCAGATCACCAAAGGTGCTACTGCAGAGGAGAGGCTGGAGTGGAACCTTCCAGAAGGGGCTGAGTACCGCTGGCTGCCAAATTCTGAAAGAAATTTGGATGGTAAAGATGAGTTGCACTGCCCATTAATAACAGCTGGAACTTCACAGGAAGGCAGGCAAAAATATGTCCTGTTCAGTCCCCTGCCCCAGGGCCACCTGCATCAGGGGATTCTATTGAAGTTTCTATTTGCACTATTAAGTCTTAAAACTCAACCTGGCCTAAAGCAGCTGTTTCTGGCTGGCGAATTTGCATCTCTGGGGCCGTGTTTTGAAACTGTCTTGTTTTTTTGGATGTGCTTCAGCACCTGCTGCCTCACTGGAGAGCCACAGAGGCAGCGCTGAGCCAGGGACCGGGTTCTCCAGCCTGTACTGTGGGATTTACCCAAACTGCATCATCTGGCTCCCTCGGTGTCCTGTGGCAGTTCCAGCTGTGCAGTGTCCTGCTTGCCCCTGTTTGTGTGCATGGCTTTGTTTTTAACCAGCCCCTGTTTGGCTTTGCAGAGGACAGCTTGGAGGTGACCAGAGCTGCCATGTGTCACCTGGGCATCGACCGCTCCGCGCAGAGCGAGCTTTTCAAGGTCAGGTACAAAGGGGGGACACCCCGAGGCTGCTCAGGGTGTCTGGATTGTCCTCCTGGTGTGGGATTGCTGCACAGCACGGGCTGGTTGGTGCTCCTGCAGCAGCACATCAGGTTGCACAGCCAAATCTTAGATCCCAGCTCAAAGCCTCCACCTGTGAACTGCAGTTTTCCTCCAGGAACTGCAGCTCTGGGGATTCACGCAGCAGCTTGGAGTCTGCTCGCTTCTTGCTGTGCAGAAATGTTGTCACTTGTCCTGTTGCTGGGGCTAAAGGAAGGCTCAGAGGACACTGCCTTGGAGGGGAGCTGCTTTAAAAACCTCAGTTATTCTGTTTCAGGTATTATCAGGCCTCCTCCACCTTGGGAATGTCCAGTTCTCTAACCCAGTGGATGAATCTCAGCCTTGTGAACTAGAAGACAAAACCAAAGGTGAGGCAACAACCACGCCATGCTCCAGGGAGTCCTGTTATCTCAGTGCAGATGCCTGATGGAAAGGATTACTGCACCCTTCTGCTGATACAGATTATCAAGGTCATGAGCAACCCAAAATTTAAGCTTGTTTTTGTGAGTAAACAAAACTCTACTGCTCCCCTGCTCTGAGAGACAATATCCCTCTGTGACAGGTCAGGGCAACTTCAGCACCAGTCAGTCACTCCAGCAGGATTATTGGCAGAACTGTGACTCTTGATTGTAATCTTAGCCATGACATCACAACACTTGCAGAAATGTGACCCAGAGTGGAGAGCAGGGCTTTTAACATCAAAGCTTTGAAGTTTTCATGGTAAAGCCTTAAGCTGAGTAACAGATAATCTTGTCAAATTGCAGCATAAATGTAGGTGGTTCTGCATGTCTTTAGGAGGCTCGTGGGTCTGGTTTTCCTTCAGAACCAGAGCTGTCCCAAACAGTGAAGTTTCCTCCTATGATTTCACAAGCTCTGAAATCACACTATTCAATATTAAATCGTTTTTCATACAGCTCAGCTTAGCAGGATCTTAAATGCTTTGTTAGCAAATACTCATTGTTCTACATGTTCTGGTTTTTTCCCTGTTTTTTTTTCTGGCCATGACTGATTTGTCTGCCTGGATTTCAAGGTCTCTGCTCAAAAAAGGTGAACAAGTAACAAAGACTAGAGAGACTCTATCAAATGCCAACTTCAGTGTGACAAACTTCAGAATGTCTTGGTATTGGTTCATTTTAAACAGAGTACCTGAAATTCTAGGGGAACTCTACATCCAAATTAAGAGTCTGGTCTTGCAAAACTTGCTGCCAAGTTTGGGTGAAAAGATCCAAAATCCACACTGAAGTTGGTGAGCTCATGGAAGTGTCATTTTCCTACATTAGAGACCTTCCATAGCTTAAAGGACCTGCATGCAGCTGACCTGGCGCTGTTTGTTCTCCTGAACAAGGGTTTGTGAAGACCACTGGAGATCTGCTGAAGATCCCCGCGGAGGAACTGCTGGAATCACTAAGAATTCGGACAATAACTGCTGGGAAACAACAGCAGGTGTTCAAGAAGCCCTGCTCCCGGGCTGAGTGTGAGACCAGGAGGGATTGCCTGGCCAAAGTCATCTACGCCAGGTGCGGACCTGCCAGTCCACGGGGCTTCTGGGAGGGAAGAGGGAGCCCAGAGGGATTCCCTTCCCCTGACCTTCTGCTTGGATTCTATAAATGTAACCCTTCCCCTCCCAGCACACCTTCATTCTGCTGCACCTGCCAGAGAATCCTGCAGTGCTGCTGCTTCATGGCACAGCTTTCTGTTCCCTCCAAGTGACCCCGAGCAGGAACGGAACAGTGCCCTGCAGGCAGCTTCCAGCTAATCCCACTGTCCTTGCAGATTGTTTGAATGGCTCGTTCTGGTCATCAATGAAAGCATCTATGCAGACCCATCGGTGTGGACCAGCTTCATAGGTATGGATATTCCACAGTCCACCTGGTTTAACCTAAAGACCTTCAAGCTACCCCTAGACTAAAGCTCACTGTTCTTCCCACGTTCCTTCTAGGCCTGCTGGATGTTTATGGCTTTGAAGCCTTCCCTGAAAACAACTTGGAGCAGCTCTGTATTAATTATGCCAACGAGAAACTGCAGCAGCACTTTGTAGCACACTACCTGAAGGCACAGCAGGTGAGACCCCACTAAGAGGAAAAAAAAAAAAAATCTAGTTTTAAACCAGCATCTTTTGTCACTTCAACTGTTATTTCTGTGCCTCTAGTCAGAATGCAACCTTCAGTCAGCCAGCAGTGCCACAGAGAGCAGTGGGAGGTGAGAGTGGCTTTGTAAAGAGGAGAGTGTGGGGCAGTTGGTGGAATGTCACAGCTTTCTGTCTTGGGGACTGCAAATCTGTTCCCTGTTCCCCAGTGCAGCTCCATTACCACACTGCTCTTTGCCATTAACTGCAGTCTGGGAAATTGTTTTCTTTATGGCACCAGCACGCTGGCACCTCCTGCCTCCCAGCGTGGCTTTGTCAATTTGTTCAGGAGATAAGTATTTCTCTGACTACAGTTTGTGCTTTGACATTCCCAGGCCTTTTTCCCTGCCTGCCCTCCTCGTCACTGTGCCAGGGGTTAATGGTCAGTGAAGATGGAAACCAAGTTCAAGCACACAATTACTTGCCTTGAAACTGCTCCATGACCTCTGTTTACTGCTCCCCTCCCAGCCACTGCCTGCCCTCTTACCTCTCTGCCTCTGGCTGGGGCCCAAACCACTTAAATGCCATTAGTGGCTGCGCTGAGCAAGCTTTTGGCAGGAGACTTTTAAAATAACTGCCCAGAGCTTGAGCTTGTTAAACACTCCTGACAGTCTGTCCTGTAATTCAGCATAAATATTGTACAGATTATTCCAACTAATATCTCTCTGTACTTCCTCTTGGATCAGGCTTTAAAAGGAGCCCAGTTGGTAAAGGCTGGCACACAAAGGTTGGGTTGGGGCTGTGTCCCAGTCTAAGGAAGGAGCTCTGCACGTTCCTTGCCCTTCAGGGCAAATCTCAGCACAGCCAGGACAGGCTTTGTGTGACTGTAGCCTCTGTTTACTCTCTAAACCAGCCTTGCAGCTCACTCTGATAGATCTGTGAGGTTCCCAAGTACTCAAACAAATTGTCCCAGCGGGCTCTGATCCATACTCCAAAGCTACCTGGGCAAGAATATCCTCATTTGTGGTGTTTTTTTTTTTTCTCAACATGCTCTTAAACTCGAGCTGAGCTTTGGGTGAGCAGCTGAGCTGGGATTAACTCATTAAACATTAACTGCATCAACTGCACAAGACACACAGTTCTAGGCTCTGGTGCCCTCTGCTGCAGGATAATCCTTTCCCTCTTCCCTCAGGAAGAATATGCAGCTGAAGGCCTGCAGTGGTCATTCATAAACTACCAGGATAACCAGAACTGCCTTGACCTCATAGAGGGAAATCCTCTCAGCATTTTTTCCTTGCTGAACGAGGTGAGTGTGATCTAAACCCTGCATTTTCTTGGCCTAGTTTCCTGCCTTTGTCCCACACCACAACATGAACAGTCCATTAGCAGAAAACTTGCCAGCTATACAATTCCTGCAGAGCTCTGCTTTCGGAATAATCACCACACTGCTCCCTCATATTCTGAGTATCCTTTTGCCTCCGATCTGGGATGTTCTGATTCAACCCCCCAACCCTTCAGGGTTGTAACAGCAAAATGGCTGTGACTTTAAATTGAAGTGGTTTAGCTTTAGAGTCAGTTCTTTGTGGCAGAGGAGATGCTGCCAGCCTGTCTCATTTGCAGGAGTGTCGCCTGAACAGACCCTCCAACACCCACCTGCTCCAGACTCGGATCGAGAAAGGCCTGTCTGGGAACCAGTGTTTGAGCAGAGACAGGTTTAGTAAGAAGCCCAACTTCATCATTTCACATTATGCTGGCAAAGTCTGCTACCAGCTGGCAGCTATGGTGGAGAAAAACAAGGTAGGTGTTTTCAGAAAGAGCTGGTAAATCTTACAGACCAGAAGGGGTTTCAGTCAAAGCACTGCTCACCAGCCCGGTCAGGGGTGTGTGCTGGGTGTGCATACCTTGCTCCAGAGAAATCCTTCAGGCCATGGAAAGCTGGGTGATGTTCTTGGTCTGGTTTTCAGTCCATCACTGGCACAAACAGTTGCTTTTGTTAGACCTTTCAGCTGAGGATTAAGTGGACCATCACCAAATCATGGCCTCTCCCATTCTCGGGAGATGCAGAACTGTTAATGGCATCAGGGCCTTTTTATAACCATGAATAGAGTGCTTCATTTCCCCTAAAAAAAAATCAGGTAAGTTTATGAGAAACAAGAGCATGGACTTTCCCGGAAATTCTGGAAGTATTCAAATTTTGGCCTCGTTGTGCCATCAGGGAATAAGTAAAATAGGTGATACAATAAAACACCATCTCTTAATTAAAAGGAATGTTTCTAACAGACTTTCTAATGTTTGCTGCAGACTGTCCTTTTAAACCAGTTCTGGCTCACTCGAGCTGTGTAGCAAGAACAGTGTTGGGAGCAGTCACACATTTGACAGGGTCTGCTAAATATTCAGGCAAACATTGTTTTCTGTTCCCAGATCTGACTGTGAATGAATGGACATGGTCAGATTTGGAACTGCAGCTGTGGTTAAATCAAAGTTGGCATCAGCAAGACTGTTCCCTCTATTTTTGTGGCGTTTTTAGCCATTTGCAGAGGTGGCAGCTTCTGCCCAAGTCCAATCTCTAACACACAGTGTCTGTGTTTGCAGGATGCTGTTCCACCAGAGCTGCTCCATGTTTTGCAGAACTCTAAGGACTCCTTGCTTCAAAAATTATTTCCTGTGACAGAAAACAACCAGAATAACATCAAAACCCAGAACAGAGCACCTGTTGTTACAGTGGTGTCCAAGTTCAAGGTACATCCTATTCAGCTTCCTGCTTTCTCCTGCTGCCTTCGCGACTAGATGAGAAAACAGGAGCTGGATGAAGATCAGTAAATGATGTAAAAATGAAACAGCTGTAAAACAGAAACAGCTTCAGACTCCTGATATTGTCTGGGTCTTAACTCCCTCTGATTTTACCTTTAACAGTTGGGCACCTGCCTTTTTGAGGCTGCTTCTTACCTGCTCCTCTTGAGGGGTTCACGTCAACAGATGGCCCTGCTATAATTTTGGAAACTTTCTGAACTTACCATCAGCAGTTTGATAAAAGCACCCACAGAGTGGATTTTTTTGCTGAAGTTGTCCCTGTAGAATTGCTCTGACTCTGTAAAGCCATCCTTGCAAAAATCAGCTCCCTGGGTTTGGTAGAAGACCCCTGATGAGCTGAGCTCCCTGTGGAGGAGTTGTCCCTGATCCATCCCCTGCTTGTTTTGTGCAGAGCTCCCTGGAACACCTCATGCAGATTCTGGACAGGACCACGCCCCACTACATCCGCTGCATCAAGCCCAACGCTGACTGCAAGGCAATGACTTTTAAAAGAGAGGAGGTAACTTTGCCAAAGCCTTTGCTCCCTGAGAAGCCTCCTGGAGACAC